TTGTAGCTCATTCATGTTCTTATCCACCTGCTCCTTGAGCTCCTGGCTCTTCTGCAGCAGGATGGCCTTCAGGGTCTCTGGGTCCATGGCCTCAGCGTAGGGGGCTGCTTCCTTCTTCAGCTCCTCCACTTGAGTCTGGAGGTGTGCCGCCAGCTGCTCAGCGTAGGGCTGCAGGTTAGTGCCCACAGCAGACAGATCCTTTTCCAGACGAGCTTTCAGCTGCTCAGCCTCCTCGGTAAACCGAGTCATGAAGTCCTGGGTCAGAGGAGCCGCCTGAGCGCGCACAGCAGCAATGTACTGGTTCACCGTTTCAGCACTCTGAGAGATCCTGGTACTGTAAGACAGAAAAACCTGCTATAAATTGAAACTTAAATTATATTTCTAGTGTCATTAGGACTCTGCATCATGTTGAGACTCTTACTTCACTTCCTGTCCCAGCTCAGACTGTCTGATCTGATTCACAGTCCCCTCTGCGGTGTCTGTCATTTTACCAACATAGTCCCAAAAAGCTTCTGTCACCATGTCCAGGTTGCTCTTGGGCGGATCCAGCCACAGGAGGTTGGCATTGCAAACTGTGGGTTAAACAGCACCGATTTACCCCCCACACATGTATGCATCAGGTTTACAGGGATCTAGACTTCATTTCAAAGACAAAATTCACTCACCAGAGAAAACAGCAAGTGCAAGAACCACAAGAACCTTCATGGCTGAATTTGACTCTGCTGGATTAAAACAATTGTAAAATATAAAAACAAAGTCATGTAAAAATGAATAATCAGTTAATTTAGTCATGAATTTATAAAAAGCATTATACAATAAAACGTTTTACCGTGCATAGGCAGCTTGGCTGATCTTCACTCTGCCTGACTTGTGCTGGGCAGCCTGCTGTTTACAGTTTTTATATCCACATTTAAGGGTAAAGTCCATCTCAAGTTGCCATGCTGGAAAGATTTTTGCTACTTGTGTCACCCCACGTCATTGCTTGTTCATTTTTTACTGCATATTCTCTGGTATCTGAATTGAACTCTGGTTTATACTTGTTTATACTGTTGTTTCAAAGAGTATCACCTGCAGCAGTTACACAGACACTGGCTGATTCACAATGGACAGTTTTAAAAGGTGGATCAAAGTGACTGCAATAGAACCAGAGAGCGTTTTTCATATTATTCCACACATTATTCTTTCTCCTCTTGTCCGAACCCGACACCTACATTACCCACAGTGCGATTAAACCTCAACAGTTTGGTCAGAGATTCAGTTGTGATGTGCTAGAAGTGGCTAATGTCATGTGAGAAAATGGGCCCCAACTCCTCCTACATTGGACCATCAGCCATTTTGTGTGGTGTTCTGCATCTCTTTATGGAGGTCCCGCATCTCTGGAATAGTTGTGTGTCTCTTATAGGTAGTTTCACATCTCATTTTGATAGTTCTCCGTCTTCTTGCAGTTTTTTTTTTTTTTTTGTCATTGGGTCTCTGGGATTGTTTTGCATCTGTTTGTGGTAAATTTGTATCTCTTTGTATCTCTTTGTATTTGTATTTTAACAGTCACTTCATACATTGCCTCTGGTCCAGGTCATTCGACCTCTTGAATCCCTGGGCCTGTGTCTGTGTAATCCATTCATGGCTAATGTGGACTCAAATCGCAAGCTTCAGGAAATGATGAGGAGCGGGCCACGGACGTCTGATGAATTCACTTCTTTCTGACTCTACACCTTCATTTATTTTGTTTTTTCAGACTTGGAGTCTCAGACCCAACTGATGCAGACTCAAGTGACATCACATGAGAGATTTTATCCAGAGCCTTTAAGATAGAAGGCTTACAGCACTGAGGGGTGAAAAACAGCAGCAGGTCACATGACTCATGTAGCATCAAATAACTCCAAACACTGGCTTCAGATCCATTGTTTTCTGTGGGGAACAGTGGGATTTATCAGCAAATTACTGCTTTTAATGACTTGTACAGCCTTCCACAATAATTCTGTGTTTTGTTGCTGTAGATAGCTCAGCTAATTTGACTAGTTAGCTAGGTTCCTAATTATTAAAGTGACAGGATTTAAAAGAGATGGTCAGAAAGGTAGTAACACATGTTTTGACACATCACTAACTTAAAATGTCACAAGTGTAATATTGTATTGATTTTAACTTCTTTCTTTGGAAGACAGCAGCCAAGTCAGTGTAACTCTGCGGCGCTGCTGCTAATGTTTGGAACTATTAAGTATTCCCATGAGCCGCCATTACTATAAAAAAAAAGAAAAAAAGAAGAAGAAGTCCTTATAGAGCCAATGATAGAGTCAGTGGAGGTATTGGCACTGTCCTCCTTAATCCCCTCAGATTTTATCTGACTTCACTCAGCTCTGGAACCACAATATTAGCTCTGATGTGATAACAGGCCAGAAATGAACTGTAACCCTGAACAAGATGCCCTTTTTTCATGTCACATTTCAATACAATATTTTCAGATGCACAGCTATAATACTGACAGAAATTCAAATTTGCTTAAATGGTTCTACTGAATTTGATTTATATTTAAAGTGTGCAGAAAGGCAAAGAAAGAACAGAAGGGAGCAGCAGGATCTGTCTTCTTGGCGATACTGATGTAAAATTTCTTTTTCTAAACAGGGTGGGCCATATCTGTCCACATCGCCTTTTAATGTGCCTCAAGGTCACCCTGTGCGTCATTTGAAATCAGCCAGATTTTTATCAGTAATGACAGGACATCCTTTATCTTAAATTTTGAAACAAAAACTTTTTACTGTAAATACCTTGAATATTCTAAGCGCTAAGTCAACGGAAAACTAAAAACATTACAAATCCGCTAAATCTTCTGCCTTAGTCAGCAGTTCCCAGTCTTTTTGGCCTAATAGTCAAAATAAAGCAACACCTATTTGTGACCAGTTGTATTATCTTATTTTATTTACATACTGTAGGTTTTATAGGCTTGAAGCTGTCAAATCAAATCAAGACAAGTTTATTTGTATAGCACATTTTCCTACACAAAGGCAGTTCAAAGTGCTTAACACAGCTAACACATTTAATGTCTCATAAAAGCCCAAAGGTAAATGTCCTCTTTTACAGATGATAAAATTATCCATTGATTATCCTGATCTGCTTAGTAGGTGCAGTAGTTTATGGTTTTCCATCTCACAACACTGTATTAATGCAGGCAGTGGTTGTTAAAGCAGACTATGACCCTCATCAATCAGAAGATGATTTGATATGAGAGGGACCTTTAGGCTTTACCCTGTTGGTCTAGTGTTTATCTGATGGTGCAGTCACAGTGTTTTTACACTTTAACCACAGTTGAGCAGCAAGAAGAAAGAGTCACATTTTACTGAAGGAAATGTCCCAGTCAAACTATTCCACTTGTAATTCAGAGGATTTAAATCCATGAAGACTCAAAACACTGTGATCAGTGTACTTTCAGTGTACAACGTGGAGCCAAAATACCACAAACAGCAATAAAAGATAACAGCAGCACAGCTCATTCTATGAACTCTGAACATGGGTCAGAGATCTTGTTGACATTTATCTGATAACATCACTGCTACTGGACCACTATAAATACTGAGTGACAAACAACCTGTGTCACAGGTGTCACAAATTCGGAACACTGAGGTAAGATACAGATTTTTCCTAGAAATCTTTATCAGGTCTCGTACTGGTTGAATATTTCATTTGTTTTTAACTGTCAAATAATTTGAAATGTTATTGTTCATTGTATAAAAAGGGTGATTGTAAATAAAAAGGAAGATGTACATTCATCAATCAACATAAAAAAAACGCAGACAATCCTAAAATGAAATTCATCGTGAAATTAATTTCAACAGCTATAATTTCAGATTTTGTAAATACATTGCTATTTCACTAAACTCTCTGTCATATATCATATTTTATCTATGATATTCCAGGTGTGTGATTTCTGGTTATGATGAGAGTGTTTGCAGTAATCCTTGCACTGGCAGTCCTCTCAGGTGAGTCTGCTCTGCTGACAGAAACCTTTATTTATTTATTTTATTTTTTTACATAAAATGGGTTTCCTGATGAAACTGAGTGTGAAAGTTGACAAGTTGAGTGCAATTAAAGTAGGAAATTAAAGAATAAACTAATTGATATTTTGAAATTATTAGGTGCTCAGATGACTGCCATAAACACTTTTTTTGGTTTTATTTTGAAAATATAGCACACTTCAGGGTCCAGACATAAATGTGAGAGCTTTGCTAGCTGCCACACTGACAGTAATAAAAATACAGAGCTTCTTTTCAACCATATATTAAACAAGTTGTGCTGAAGAGAAATCCTTAAATGACTTAACACTTGTTGCAGCTTTTAACCACTGATTCAAAAATGAAGTTTACCTTTGTTCTAATTCAATCCAAAACCTCTTCAGTATTGTTTAATTTCTTACCTAAAAGACTAAAAGTTACATTCAGATTTTTTCCAAAAACCAGGCTGCCATGCAAGAAGTGTGCCTCAGGATGATGGGAGTGACTTTGAAGATACCGTCCAGAAGTTCAAGGATTATTTAACATATCTGAACTCCAAGGTCGATGAGGTGGTGAAAGACATCCAGAGCTCCGAGACCGTCAGAGAACTGGAGTGAGCATATTTACCTTTATCAATACAAACATTTTAAGTTTAGTCCAATACAGTGATTGATCACTGTACGGCACTTTTTTTGCCTGGTGCTTTTAAACCTGCAAAATGTGCAGCTGGACGTGAACTGGTTCTTGCTCAGAATGAAAATATCTTTTTTAAAGTTTGCTGTATTTTGTAAAGCAGAAGAGTAAAAAAGTGCAAACATCTCGGCTAGCATCCTCCTCAGTGTGATCACTTAAACAGTGTTGACCAGACATATCTACAGTACATGTCTACAGATCCACGTGTCTGCAAACCCTTGGAAAATCTCTAATTAAGGCCTTTATTTGCTCTGACTTCAGTCTTAACCCTCTTTGGACCCTGAATACTTTACAAAAACACCTAAAATTATCCATCTCATTCCCCTAACAGCACCCTGGTCCAGGACAGCATGTCTGAGCTGGCCATGTACAGGGACGACCTGCAGAACAAGCTGGCTCCCTATGCCCAGGAAACTGCAGAGCGCCTGGGCAAAGACCTGCAACTGCTGGCTGGCAGACTCCACAACCAGATGGCTGAGACCCGGGAGCAGCTGGTGCAGTACACCCAGGAGGCGCAGACCATGATGGAGCAGGATGCTGATGACAGCAAGCTCCGGGTCTCCACCTACAGCCAAAAGCTAAACAAACGCCTCAACAAGGACATGGAGGAGATAAAGAAGTGAGTGAAACACTGAGGTGGATGGAGGCTGAGAGGCGTTGTCACTGTTCACTGAGACACATTTGCTGTCCAACAAGAGGCTCAGATTCATCAACTAAACTTAGATGACCTGTTTATTGAGTTGTACTGGGTTCTCCTGGGAACATTTTAAAAATCATTCATTAGCTTTACCTCACACAGCAGCAACATTAATATACTGAATGTTAATGGAATAATAACCAAGTAATACATGTATATGTATAATATAACACCCTGAAAGTGGCTGTTTTACCTTTTGCATACTTACACTTTTGAAAATTCGAATACTTTTGCTGATGATACATCTATACTTTTACTTGAGTAGGATATTGAATGTAGCACTTCAGCTTGTTCATTTGTCTGGACATGTCTTTCAACACTGCAGTTGTACAATGTATAACATATCAGGGGACGTGATGATGCAGGTGTTTGGGAGTCACTCTCATTATAAATGCCTCTGTCCTTTAACAGGCATGTTTCTGAGTACCTTGAGGAGCTTCAATCCCGGACCTCAGACAACATGGAGGACGCGAAGTCTCGTTTGCAACCTTATTTTGCTCAGGTGCAAGACAACGCCCAGGCGAAGGTCACCACCCTGAGTGATCTGCTGACGAAGCAGGTAGAGAACATGAAGGAGGAGATTCAGGGGGTGGCTGCGGGCATCAAGGACCAAATTCAGAAAACTGCTGAGGACATGAAGGAACAATTTCTTGAAACTGCTCAGAATATGCAATTCAGCCTGGGGGAGAAGGTGGAGGAGATGCGCATCTGGTTTCAGCCTCTGGTCTCCACGATCAGGGACAACATGTGAAACCTGTCATCGGTCTGAACTACCTGTTGGTCCATCACTTCCTGTATCAAGGTTTTATAAATGAAGAAAATCAGTGTTTCTGTCACTTTAATAAAAACCAGCTGCTCACATGTTGTAAATCACTGGCTATTAATAATATGTGCACATTTACACCTTTGTCTTAAAGTGTTCTTTCCTAAAACATGGCCATTGTTTGTACATTAATGATTAAACTAGTAGGTGATGCAAAACTTCTTTTCCTTTTTCTCCAAAATAAAACTTATGTCAGAATATTTTCAAAGACACTGAAATAATAGAAAGCACAGGCTATAGATAACATGGTTTTTTCAGAAGTCATTTTGCCTCAGGTTCTCCATTTTTTAGTAATGTATTTGAAGTCCAACATTGTTTTACTTTGGGATTATTCAAATGAAAAGCAACAAATGGACAATGATACCGTATATTCTCTGATTGTTAAGCCACTTAAGGCAAAAACCAGCTTGTTCATGAGATCGGACAGTGCACGTTTACTCCCTTGTTTTATTTTCCACCATTTTTTCACACAGTAATAGTTTATAATAATTGTACTTTGGTCTGAAAGCAACACACAGTCTGCACTGGGATGGTTTCAAATTTAACAAACTAAAATATGTCATTAAAATCATTCCAAACATGCCATAATAAAAAAACAAACTAAAATGTAAGGCTACACAGTAACTTAAATATGTGTGTGTGAGCTTCACAGAAAAACCACAAGAGAAAAATAATGTCACTTTTTACTGAAAAACTATTATGTTACACAAAACTCTCACAGTCACTAGTGACTCACTGGAGTAGAAGTTACATTTATGTTTTCATCAATTCTCTAAACAAATTAGTAGATGACATTCAAAGAGTGAGAAATTCAACAGTGTTCAAATAAAAAATCAGCACCACATACTGAAATAATTCAAACATAATCAGAGAACAAACATGGGGAGGTTTCATCATCGAACCACAATATGTATAATGATATATGAAAAATACTGCATACAGAGATAATAAACTATGTGCATTCAATATTTTAAAATATCTTGTTCTTTCAAAGAACAAAATCATGTTAAAACAGTAGCAGAGGTTCAGTTGTAACACTTTGAAAACACAGTATGGTGGGATTCAGGAGCAGGGTGTCAGCTTCTAAATCCCTCTGGCATGGACCATGTAATGCTCATGCAGCTTGGAGATGTCTGTAAACGTTTCCATGCAAATTGCACAATAGTGAGTCTCTTCCACAAGTTCTTCCTCCTCTGAAAACAAGGAATCACTATCGCTAGCTCTGGAAACATCAAAAAACTGGTGCTGATGTGATCCTGGGAGGAACAGAGATTTATCTGAATGATCTCGGTTCTTTGAGCTGCTTGTCCGAGAGGAGGACTGAGGTATATTTGAACAGTTAGAATCTGAACAACTGAAACTGGCACCTGGTCTGTGAGGAAGATCAGACACTGTGCTGCTGGCAGAGGCCGCGATGGACGGACTTTCCTCTTCTGTATCTGAAATGACAACGGGTGGCTCCGAGGAGATGACAGGCACCACGTACAGGCGGTCTGGATGAGGATACCTGAACAGGTGTTTTTTATTGCTCACAGGAAGACGCCGTTTTTGCTGAGACGACGCTGAACCAACTGCCTGGATGTTTTCTGGAATTCTGTTGGGAATATAAGCGGCGACGTTCTCTGTGGGGCTCTCTGGCTTCTTCCCTCCAGTGAAATGGCAAACCTGATGTGCCTGCAGCAGATCCGTGCTCGAAAACTTGGCAGTGCATCTCTTGCAGTGATATGGGAATAAAAGTGGTTCCACAGCCCATGCGGGCTGCGGTACGTTTAGCCGCACTCTGTGAGTCTTCAGGTGAGTCTTTAAGGCACTGTGACTGGAGAATGAGAGGTTACAAGGGAGGCAGAAATGTGAGGTTGCACCTTTATGTAGCAGCTTGTGTTTCTTCAAGTTTCTCAGGGTGGAAAAATTCTTTCCACATTTGCTACATTTGTTAAAATCTTGCAGTTTGTGGGATTCAGAGATGTGGACAGTTAGGTTCTCATTGTTTGCAAAGGTGTCAGGACATAAAGGACATGCATAGGGCATCTGAGCTGCGTGTTCCTGCAGGTGGTCGATGTACGAACCCAGGAAGCGGAACTCCAGGTCACACTGAGCACAGGAGAAAGGTCTGTGGGTTTGACGGTGGAAACGCCGATGCAGCCACAGCTTGTTCCACCGGTTAAAGGACTTCCCACAGTGTCCACATGAATATCTGCCACAGTGTCTGTGAATAGGTGACTGATGACCGGAGGGCTGCTGAGATGCTTGATCAGATGTCAGACAGAAATCTGATCCATCAGAGTTCGGAGGTGGAGGGCTGATGTCAAAGTCGTCATTTTCAGACGGGTTGGAGTCATGTGGTGATGGTGGAGGTGACCCCATGTATGTAACTTCTTCTTTTTCACCTGTTTCCACTTGAGGTAAAGCTGTAATTTGACCCATCTGGTCTTCGTCTTGAGGTACGTTTTCCGGTTCCTCCCACGTTTCGCCCAGGGAGGCCCTACACACCTCTTCTTCCCCACTTTTTCTGCAGCAAACTAAGCAGTGACTCCTCATTTCAGCTGCTTGGTCATACTGTTGTCTGCATGTCTCACAAGTGTAAGACTTGCTATGAGTGTGTGTCTGCAAATGCAGAACATACTGACACCAGTGACGATGAAGCTGCTTGCATATTGGACATTTCAAATACACAGGGGTGGGAATCTGTCCTGCGGCACTCTGAGAAACCAAGAATTGGTCAATGTCACTTCGATTTCTGCCTTCCTTGTCAGAGCACGCTCTGGCCATTTGATGCGAGCGTAATAATGCAAAGGTGGTGAAGGATTTTTCACACCTGGCACAGGAGAAAGGTGCGGCCCCTGAGTGGATCTGAGAGTGACGCTTAAGCTCCTGCAGTTTGTCGAAACCTCTGCAACACACAGTGCAGGAGTACGGTTTTACTGGCCAGTGAGTCTTTTCATGAACGTTCAGACTTGAAGGCTGGTAGAACTTTTTCCCACACACAGAGCAGGTGTGCGGCTTTCCACACCGTGTTCTTCTGTGCATCTTAAAGGTGGCTCGCTTTAAAAACTCCTTGAAACAAACCGAGCACCTGAGAGGTTTATTGAGGCTGGGACCAACCGGAGTGTCCAAACTGTCCGCCTGGCTGTGTTTTGCGCCTTCTTCTGTCGTGTCTTCTTGAATGTCTTTCATGTGACTATGAAAATGCAAGATCAGCTCATCTTTATTTTTAAATTTTGCATGACAACACGGGCAACAAACTGCATGCGACTTGTTGTGGATTTCTGAATGCAGGTTGAGTTGGTACAGCCGGGCAAAGTTCTTGCCGCATGTCGGACACCTGTAAGGTTTTTCTCCTGTGTGAATGCGTCTGTGGACTGTGAATGCTGTAATGTGTCGAAAGCAGCGACCACAAAAAGAGCACTTGAGGGGTTTCTGTGATTTCAGTTTTTGACTGCGAGGGTCATAGTTTTTAATTTTGGAAGAGAATTTAACTTTGGTGTTGGCTGTCATCACGTCTGCTTGATCGCTCTGTGTTTGTTCTGTGACTTTTTCTTTAACATCTTCACTTTCTTCTTCCAGTGTGAGACTGATCCTTGCATCACCTGAGACTGAATTACACAGACTGGATTCGAATGAGAAAGCAGACATTTCCACGTCAGATGGAAAACTGCACTCAATGATCTGAGGTCGCTTTAATTTCTTTCTGGCAGCCCATCTTGTTTTTCTCCTCCTCCGTCTCTTCTTTATTTTTTTCATTTTAGGTTTTCCTTCAGGAGCAGCAGGGGGATCTGAATGAACCGGTTGATCCTGAGATAAAGGTGCCTCCTCTGGTGATAATTCTGACACATCACTTTTGTTGTGTTCTTGTTTAACAGTGTTTAAATCCACTCCATCAAAGGCTGCATCATGGATCGAAGAGCTACAAGCAGGAACAGGCTCATTACAAGAGAACATGTTTTCCATTTTTACAATCTGTGATGTTTTACCAAACCTTGTACAAGCTTTTGTTTTCCTTCTTTTGGACCTTATCTTTGATTTCACACCCATTTCTCGATTCACAAGAACTCTTGTATCACATTCAGGCTTTTGTTCTTCACTAGAGTCCAGATGTCTCAGTCCCTTAAATGTCTTTTTCTTTGACGTTTGTCTCTCCTTTCGTCCCTTTGTCATATCTTTTTTACCTGACTTCAAGTGGCCTGTTGGTGCCTCACGGTCAACCTCAAAAGAAACCATCAGGACATTTTTCAAATCTGATACCACTTCTACAGTCTGTGGCGTGTGCGCTGCTGATAAGCTACCCGCAGAGGTTTTCTTATTCTCTTTACTTTTCAGCCTTTGACTTCCTTGGTGGCGGCGGCTCGCTCTCACATAAGTTACGACACAGTTTTCACTCTCTGTTGTCTGACAAGACACAGAAACATTATCTTCAGGTTCTAATTTGGTGTCTTTATCATTCTCGACAGCACTGAGAGCAGGCAGCTCTGACTTTACTCTCTTGCATCTCCCCTTACGTTTCACTACAACCTCCTGTTCTAGGTTTTCATTTAAAGAAGAGACAGGAGGATTTGGAGCAGCTGCTTCATCAAATTCCACAAATGATGCTACTACTTTCTTCTTTGCCCTTTTGCCTTTCCTCTTCCTTGTGTCTTTTATCTTTTTGGACACGCTTTCTTTCACCACGATGTCATTTGTTCTGCTTGATATCAGTTCCTCCTTTATCGCTGCATTAAGTGTCTCATCTGGATTTGCTATGATTTGCACAGGTGGATTTTTATTTTGTGACTTTGTGTGTTTGTCTTGAGCCTTCAAAACTTCATCTAAAATGATGGCATACGTTGCTTCATCTACCATCAGCTCCGTTTTAACTCCCTTTGGGCACCTGTTTTTTACTCGTAAACCCTTCAAATAACTTATTAAACAGTCTTTAGGTTGTGCGGGCGTGTATTTTCTTGGAAGTTTCCTGTCTCTACGAGGCCGGGGGTTATCTGTGAGGGAGGAATCTAATTCAGTTTTTATGTTTGTCAGAGGAAAATCCAGCTGTTTTGGTGCAGCCTCTGAAGGTGGCTCACTCTCTGTAGTCAAACCAGAATTCAGCATTTGCTCACTAGCATTATCTTCTATGTTTCTCCTTTTTCTTTGAGCTCTGCCTTTCTGTTTTTTCTCAGAATGATTCCTCCTGGTTGTGCCACGCTGCACATCAGCACACTTGCTCTCCTCTTTTACAGAGACAGGCAAAGCTATTGTGGCCTTTCCATTCTCTGCTGTTTTCTTTCGCTGCCTTCTCGTGTTTGTATTTCTCTGTATCATTAATGTCGGTGTCACTGGCTCACAGGTTGGTTCGCACTTTATATCTGATGCTTGCATTAAGGATTCAGCAGGCGCACATTGGTTCACTGTGCTGTCAGCACAAGGTGGCATACATATAGGTACACTCACAGCCTCTTCTGTGCATTTTTTGGTTTTAGCAGCACGTTTTCGTTGGTTTTGAAGCTGTGAAATTGTGAATGATGGCACAGCTGCTGTTGAGCTATATGGAGTTTCTGTGTTAC